AGGACAGGAAGGCCTGGCGCAATATGGTTCATGGGGTCACGAAGAGTCGGACACGACTTAACGACTAAACAACAACTGGAAGAAGAAATTATAAAGTAGTCAAAGAAATGAAATCCTTCATTTTTTTTCATGTGCTATGTAAGTATGACTCTATAAAATAATAAATGCATTTGTTATACAATAGAAGAAACCTTATTTCAAAGATGACATATTTTATATCCCCTTCATTAAAAAAAAATGAGAGGCTACTATGTTAGTATGGATCATTTATCCATCCATGCCAGTGTTCTAGACTAATTTTAGTTAATAATTCAGTACAATTCTAATTTTCAACTTCTATTTTTTGCCACCTGTATATCCCTTTATTCTACTGTCTAATTTTATAGCAATCCCACTTCTAGAAAGGAGGTTAATGGCATGTATTGAAAAACAACTCATTTTATTTCCTGTGATTTTTTCCCCCCTTTTGGTTAAACATTCTAACTTTTCCAGCTTTTCCCTATAGTGTTGGCTTTCTAAATTCTTTGTCCTTTGTATTCTATAGATTCCCCTCCCCTCTTAATTTTTAAATCTTTATTGGGTAGGAATGTATTAAGTTAGGGGAAAGAATCTTAAAAGTATGTTGGCCTTTTATAGTACATATTACATTAGTATGAAAGTAACACTAAATTATGATTCACTGTGATGCGAATGAGTATTGGGTGTGAGTCCTTCCCATTCCCTTCTCCTTTGGTGTGGTTGCAAGAAAGAGATCAGAAGTTTTCATTTCCATTTTCAATTAACCAGGGCAGACTTGTTCATTTAAACATCTCCCTACTTGGTTCCTATCACACATAAAGCAGGAAGGATTGTTTTTAAGACAGAGTTGTGGGAAACTGAGCCCTTTCTTTGCAGTTTACCTCTATATCAACCCTTCTCCGGGCAGTCTTCCCACAAAACAGTACATGCTTTTAATTTGGGTAGATAAAATGGTAAAAAGTTTTCTTGTATTGTACGATTTCAGATGTAGCTACAGGCTCCCTTGAATGAATGCTGTCCATATGCAAATTCTCTTTGCATATTTTTCGAAAACCAAATTACAGTATGTTCTTTAAGCTCAGTGACAGAATTGCATGAAATACTAGTTCACAGAGATAAATAAAGGCTTGAACTTAAAAACAGTGGATAGTAATTGGTTTACTGAACAAGAAGCTGTAGTTTATGTAAGTCTGTTACAAGTATATATTCTGATAAAAAGGTACAGGACACAGATGTTCTAAATATCTTCAGTGTATTTACAGGAAAGAAATAGTAATAATAAACACTAATATTGTACAAACATCTGGCCAACTTCCCTCCCCCCAGTTATTTATGATTAAAGTTCATGCTTTTGCTTTTAGTTCCACCTTAGACAAGAAACCAGCTGAGTGACCTTGGGCCAGTCACTCTTTCTCAGCCCTGGAAAGGAGGCAATGGCAAACCACTTCTGAAAAACCTTGCCAAGAAAACTGCAGGGACTTGTCCAGGCAGTCACCAGGAGTCAATGCTGACTCAAAGGCACTGCCCCCAAAAAACCCTTAAAATACTTGAAAGTGTTCAGGTAGAAAGCATTTTGTGTAAAGAAGGTATTATTTTCTACAGAAACAAGTGGTTACTAATATAGGTTTTTTTTACATCTAAAACATTCCTAAAGCCTATTAACTATCCATCAAAAATAGTGAGTTATCTTTAAATGAAAACATGAACCAAACCATGCTTTGTTCAATTAATGAAATGTTCTGTCTTCACACAACATGCCGAATCACAAACTTACCACATGGAATAGATTTGCACAATACACTAGGCAAAAATGAGATGGGTCACTGTATGGTTCAGTGTGTCATGTGCATTCAGCTATTTTCCATTTTTCTTCATGGGTATTATGCATAATTGTCTACAGGTGTGTCCCCTTAAAAATAAAGAATGACAACCATTACTTACCTATCAAATATTCCTGATGAAGCAAAAGACTGGCTCTCTTCAAACCACTCAGGAGGGACAGGCAAATTAATACATTAACTGGAGTTACCATGGACGCAATTCCTGACTTGTCTACTTGCACTAACTAAACTAAAGTCCTCATTAGTACCCTAACATACTTCAAGCACTCAGAGATTTTGTTGGGCTGATGGGTGGTCCCTTTAATAGTAATAGTCACCTTTCACATTACAGCAGTGGGAAGCTCTGTTAAGGAGGGGGGTAGGAGACCGAATCCAGGGTAACTTCAGAAATTGTAAAGGGGGTTTAGAGGACTGCGGGCATCAGCAAAAACTGTTTGTACTTAGAGACCTTGCCTTTACATGCTCCACAGAAGCCAAACCAGACAGGAATCCTCTTAGTGTGCCAGGAATGGAAAAGACGTGCCTTGCAGCATACTCACTCTATGCTAGTGGGACAGGCATGTGCACATGAATGAAAAAGAGAAGATGGAGTAGGATTCAGCAATTACAAAGCCAAACTCTTCCAATAAGGATATGCTAAGACTACTAGAGCTCAGGTGCTACTGCTCTGAACACAGACTCAATTGAGCATTGTCTCCGGTATAATTATATTTAGACATGTGTGCCAAAATTCAAAAACCTTTTAAACACCCCTTAGAAAACCTTTGGGCTTTTTCAAACATAGAAAAAAATCCTGGGATGTTATGCTAATTTCTAAATAGAAACCAACCACAACATTGGATCACTACGCCTACTGAAAAAGAGATACTGAAAACACATGTGCGAGTAAGAGAACCTTCTGTTCCAGGGAAGGGCAGAATGTTTTCAAACAGACTTATTCTGTGATTAGGTACCACCTCTGGCTCTCAATGGAGAGCACTGCAGGATGTCTCACCTTATTAAAGGTGCATGAACTGTAGTTCCTTGATTTGAATGGCTTTTCATTACATTGAAAGTCCCTTCATATACCATGTTACTTATTTCCTGACATGGATAACCAGCATATTGAAATACACCTCCTTTCTTAAAAGGAAAGAAATATATTGAATGGATGAAAGCATTTTTATGAACCTAGTCAAAGGAGACAAACTATTTTGAAACTAAACAAAAAGACAAAGTTTTACTTAAAGGCAGTAATAAAAAGCTGTATTATTTCAAAAGTTTGGAAATAATGCCATTTTAGTAAATACAAACTCAGAAATAATATCCATTAGCTTTGGGGGGGGGGTTTAACTGTCTACTTGACAAGAAGATGGTAAAAAAGCACATCTACATTTAAACATTAATTTTAACCAAGAGACCAAACCAGAATTTTAAATAAATAATCATTTGGTTAATAAGATCATTTTTTCTTCAGTTAATGAACTTGGAAGAAAATCAGTAATAACTTTTTGTTATTCTCCCCCAACCATTTCACTACTGAACTACATATTTAATAAAAATAATAATAATAATCAGGAATTGCAGCAATGAAGTGGCTTCTGGTTCTTTTCAAGTCATGTATTTTAACAGCAATAGTTATGAAGTTGCGGTAAGTGTTTTGTAACACTATTATTTCCATGGCCAGATTTTAACAATAAAAAAGCTAAGCTTCCAAAGTTAAAAACATTTCCTTTTCTGACTAAAGTTGAAATGCTATCAAATTACCTATATGTAAGTCACTATGAACTCAGTGTTGTTTACTTTAGACAAGTAATTTACTTTAGGTATATAGGACCATGACCTATATGTTATATAAACACACACGGAATACAAAGGTTGATGTGGTACTGTACAGTATTATTTAGTTATTTTTAAAGTTACATTTATTTATTTTATTTTTTATTTATTTATGCAATTTATCTAGCATCTCAATCCTCATGGACTCTAGGCAGTTTACAGATGGGTTAGGCAACTTGGAGTACACTGCAAGCTTGTAGTACACTATAAGCTTGTATTGTGCCCTTGCCTCTTTTTCTATGCAAGCATATTCCTGTTTTTCTTTCAATTCTGAAACTAATTATGGTTAACATTGTATGCATAGTGATCTTAATACTAACTGTGCTTCAGGGAAAGCACTATTTGGTAGGTGTCAGTCCTACTAGTTAGACCAGACCAGGAAATCAACAGGAAGGCTAAAACTTATTTTACTGAGATTGGCTATAATAACAGAATCCTGCAAGTCTGATTCTGCTGTATCTCCTCTCCCTACTTATACTCCAGTGAATTAGGGAGGCGTCTGCCCAAGCCACTTCTAAACATTATCTTGATGCCCTGGATTTTAAAATGTTTCAGTTCTTTTTGCCTAGGTAACAGTTCCTGCATATTTCTGTCAAGGTCATCTTCCTTATTCTCTACAGTAGGTCATCCCTAACATGTTCAATGAAAATATAGGGACAAAGACATAAAACTACTTAATTACAGGACTGTTTCATGCCACTCAATATCAGAGGAGGGAAAAAAAGCAAAACATATGCAAGCATATACATTCCCATGCACTGTTTCTAGTCATCAAACTATCCACACACATCTTGCTGGCTGTAATTGAAAGGTTTGCTGCAGCCTAAAAAAAAAAAACAGCCCTCATGTAAACAACAATTGCTGCTTCTATATGGTCTTCTTTTTATTCACTTATATACACAGCATGAAGCCCCTAGGCTCACTGCCAAGCTCCTACAGTTTTATCTTAGACCTTCCTAACATGCCTTTACTATTTAGCTTTCAAGCCTGGAACACAGCCTCAATGCTGTCAGGATAGGTATTCACTCATATTTGGAAGCTTTAGGAACCACAATATCCACTGTTGCTGCCAAGTCTGCCTCTCCACATTTTGGGAGAGGAGTGGAATTTAATCCCCAGTGTTTAATTAGCTTCCAGAGGTAACTGGACACAGCAACTTCAACTGCCTTGGGAAGCTTAAGAATAGAGCAAAAAATGCTTTGGAGATACTTAAGTGTCACTATTTCTGAAATACATCATAACATTGGATGCAGTCAACAGGTTAAAAGACATGCTTACCAAAGTGGATACCATTCACATTTGTGGACCTCTGTGGCAAGGATACTTGATCTCATTCCTCCTTTTTGTTGACAGTACTGGGATTGGATTATTAGCTTTGCACAATCCCTCAACTTTGGCCATGTGTCCTAGGGTTGCTGGGAATTATAGCAACATCAGCAATATCTGGAGTGCCACAGGCTGTGTCCTCCTACTCTAAGTCGTATGAATTTATCACCATGAAGACATGGTATTTATCAACTGTAATCAACATGGGCCTCACTGCTGATGTCCCATATCTTCTAGTTTGACAAATACTATTTAAAGTTTCAGCAGAGACAAACCATTTTTCAAAATTCAAACAAAAACATTATAATCTTTTTCCACTGGCCATGCTAGTTAGGAATTTTGGGAATTCTAATCTAAGATAACTGGAGGGCACTAGACAGAAGGAGGCTGGTGTAGACTATTGCTCACAAGCCTCTTTTAGTTTTTTTTCTTACCGTCTTTCTAATAGGTCAAAGAAACAACAGGAAACTAGGTCAGTTACTTAATACCTTGATCTCTCAAATCAAAGGTTGCACGATTTTGCTGTGTTGAATTATGGACCCCTATATATAAAAACAAAGAGAAAAAGAAACAAAGGGAAAAAGAAAGAGTTTTAAAAAGCAGGAATCCTTTGATCAGAACAGCATAGTACAGCCAGCTGTAACTCAAGCTGGCCATTCTTACATGGCAGGATTTAAGAACTACCCCTGCCAGGCAAAGCCCTATTAAAAAACAATGGCTGTTTGAAAAGGATAAGCAAACTGATATGGATATAATAGGCCACATATAGTGCACCCTTTCTACTCTGAAATAAAGCATTTTAGAGTTATGAGTTGGGAAATCCAGTATGCTGGAAGACTGCAGGCCTATCATATAAAGGGCTAAGTAGCCATGGAGAAATGTTTGGAGGTAGCACAAGGAAAGGAAAAAGTAGTTCACAGCAAAGTTAAGAATTCACGTTTAAGAGTTGCATGATGTTCCATATACACCTTATTGTTGCAGTGCTGTATAACTAACACAGACATCCAGCCTCCACATTACTATCAGGACTGAAACTTAACTGTAAGAAAACTGTGGAAGATAATCTTATGATCAGAGCCCAAATTAAATCATATTACATTCCCAAGAGTATCAACTTGCTCTAGTTTTCAAAAAATGTCACTGTAGCCAAAGCTTCACTGACTACAGGAAAAGTAAAGGAAAAAAACCCCACTATTATTCACTCCAAAGGTAAGCTGAGCCTGTACAGCTTCATGCCTCAATTTCCTCTCTCCCTCCACCCCTGCCCCACACCCTAGGAGAGAATGAAGATAACATTAACTCATAGACTTGGATTGTGAGAGCAATTCCTTGTCTGGATTTCTGTCAAGGATTAGGGAAAAACTATTAACAGAGACACAGTAAAATGTCTTGGTTTTCTTTCCAGTAAGTGACCCAAAGAGAAATGTAGTATTGTATCATTTTACAGGTGAAACATTAGCTATATGATAGGTTGCAATCTGTTACGATCCACCGCCACTATTTTGTAATGCAATACAGCTGGATAGATCTCCCCAAGGGTAGATTCTGCTGCAACATTTTTCTTCTACAGACAAAGACTCATTAACTATGTTACGCTGCAATGCAAAATCCATGTGGGGGAAATAGGTATATGGAAGAGAAAACAGAAATACTCCTAATTATGAATTCTTTATGTAAAACCCATGTGTATTCTGCATTCCATTGTGACAGTTATCACATTTATTTATTTCTCCACAAGGAAAAGTATGATGCTGAAATGAGTTTTCAGTTTACTACCACTTAATTTTGCACAGAAAATTGACCAGTATTAGAAAATAATGACTGTTTCTAAAACACAACTTATACATTTTCACTCAATGCTGTACTGTGACCTTGGGTTCTTTTTCATTTATCATGGCATGTGTTTGCTACATTTCGGAAAATGTTTAGAGCTTAAAGAGAAAAATAAAAAATTCACTATAATCTGATGAATTCTATGATGATATCAAAGAATGGAGCCCCCAAAAGCAATTGATAAGTAGCATAACCCTGAAGATTTATTCAAATTTTATCTAGTATATAAGCAAACAATTAAGCATCTAGATAATATATATAGACATCTATGCATTACACAAGATAAAACTAGATTATTTATTTATCATTAAACATATTTCTATACAGCCACAATCAACATGCCCTTGATGGCCCACATAAAAAAGGTACAATATAAAACAAGCCCCATACAAAAATAGAAATACAACAGTGTGGCAAGAATACAAAGAAAATAACAGATAGCAATATTAAATCAAATCAGGAGAAGGTTCGTCAAAACAAGTTGGTTTTTAAAGGCTTTTGAAAGATCAGCAGAGAGGGAGCTAGCTGGATTTCCACGGGAGGCTGTTCCACACAAGGAATGTATAAAATGTGTAGTGCTGCAAAAGAAAAGCCTTTGTACATGGTAACTCCTGACAGTCATAGGTAAAGCTCCTAGTTTTTATTTGTACATTTTACAACAACTTTAAGTGCAATCTTCAAAAAGCTTAGGAATATAAAGCTTAAATCTATTATGAATATTACATACGCACTTTTAAAATATTCTGTTGATTTGGGAGACATAAACAGATCTCCTCTAGGGCAGGAGTGACAAACTCAAATAGAAATGGGGGCCACTAAACTATACATAAGATCCCTGTGCACCACATATTGACTTAGAAAACCACACATTTGTATATTTCTTTTTTTATTAATATATCAACACATTAAAATAAGGTAGGAATTAAATATAACTGATACATAAAAAAGAGACATTATTATTATGAATTTATTTGGTTTCAATATTTATGTGTATTTTTTTACAGGTAGTCCTCGAGTTACAATGGCAATGGGGACTGGAATTTCCATTGCTAAGTGATGCGGTCATAAAGCATGATGTCATGTGACCACATCGCTTAGCAACAGCAATCCCTGCAGTCGCCCTTGCCATCATTAGCAAGGATCATGGGTTGTTAAGCAAGCACCTCCTTACAACTTCCTGCCAGCTTCCACAACCAAGTCACTAGGAAAGCTGGCAGGAAGCTGCAAGTCCCAGGTGGCTCACAAGCAGGCTGGCAGAAGAGTAAAGTGGCTGCTGCCAGGTGGGAGAGGGTATGCGAGTAGTGGGGGAGGCGTAATACAGGGTTTGGGGGGGCTGCTGCTGAGGGGGTGCAAGTGTGTGTGAGTAGCAGGGGAGGCTCAGCACATGTGCGGCGGGGCTTGGGGTGGCTGCTGCCGGATGGTGGAGGGTTCACGAGTGGCTGGATAGGGTGGTGCAAGTGCAGTGAGGCTCAGGGAGGGTGCACGAGTGGATGAGACTTACCTGAGCAACTTGCAACCTTCCCTGCTGGCTTCCCTATTGACTTTGCTTGTGGGAAGCTGGCAGGGAAGGTCGCAAATCGCGATCACATGACCACAGGACGCTGCAATCTTCATAAATGTGAGCTGGTTGCCAAGCACCCAGATTGCAATCACATGACCTTCCAGGGGTGCTGGGACAGCCAGAACTTCAAGGACCAGCTGTAACCACCACTTGTTCAGTGCCATCATAACTTCAAACAGTGGCTGAACAAGAGATCATTAACCAAGGACTACCTGTATATATTTGTGTGTATACAGCATATATCTATATGCACACACACAAATATATATATTTGTATTTATTTCCGCACTCTGAGCTTCTTCCCGGCCTACCACAAAATTATCTCATCACCTCCTTACCTCCTAATCCTACTTATCACCTTCCTGCAATGTTCCCTCTTTGTGTGGCTTTTCCCAAACCTAGTACAAATTTGTGCATAGCAGTATAAGAATATGAGTAAGTTGCAAATACATGTAATAGTGACAGGTTAAAATATTTATGTATTTCTTAGTTAAAGTATAGAAACTACAATGTATAATAGTATGTCACCTATACACTTGAAAGTTGTGGCTTCAAGTCATTTTGGACTCCTGACAACTGCCCCTGCACTTTTCTTGGCAGCATTTTTCAGAAGTGACTTGGCAGTGAGAAAGTTTCTTTTCTCTTAGGGGTGAGAAAAGTGACTACCCCAACTGACTTCATGCCCAAGACAGGATTAGAACTCACCATCTCATGGTTTTTAGTCTGACACCTTAATGTCTTAACCATTACACCAAACTGGCTCAACACATACAAGTTTACAGATTATAATATAAACTGACTAGTCACTGATAACTGCAATCAATATTTTGTAAGCATTTACATTTTTTTTCTTTTTTTTCAAATTCGATAATGTAATGAAATAAAAAAGAAACATTATACAAAGAGCATTTAGATTGTCTCCTCTCTTTCATGTTTTCCCCATTTTCTTCCTTCTTCTCTGGATATATTCTGAACTTATTTAAACTTCAATTATTATTCATTTAAAAACTGAGGGTTTTTTTTATAAAGTTAACGATGATCACGGACCTTGTGCAGCCTGAAACTCAACAGATATTAATTAAATCTCTTTTGGGGGGAGAAGAGAAATTAATGCAACCTGTTTTGGAGGGAGGAGGGAAATTCAAACTTTTCTGAAGGAAGTAGAGAAATGAATTCAGCCTGTTTTGGAGAGAGGCGCTCCTTCATGCACTGGAGGCTCTGAGGTCCAAAGCAGGTCGGCTACTAGTGAAGGCTGGCTGGCTTCCTGCTATCCAGGGAAGAGCACAAGCTCAGTGCCTCGGCTTAACTGCAGCAGCAAGGTTGCTTGGCGTTGCTGCAGCTCAGGCTGAGAGGAAACTTCTGTCATGTGGTGTTCCTGTGAGCTTGTGCAGGACCCCTTGCGAGTCGCAAACCCAGAGCTTTGATGATTGGTGACTAAATGTATTATTATTTAATTTTAAAATGCAATAAGAGCTATGCTTTGTTGTATTTTTATTTTATTTTCTTAAATATTTTAATCTGGTTTGGGTCGCACTCGGGAGTGTTGTGGGGCACATGAGGCCCATAGGAGACATGTCTGACACTTCTACTCTAGGGTCTAGGGTGCAGAGCACTATTCCAGTGGAAGATATGTCTACAATCCTTTGAAATTGTCAATTTTTGTTCGGCCAAGGCTTTGGCCTGACAAGTGTTTGAAATTACTGTATCCAGTCTCTTTCATCTTGGAATTATTTTTATCTGTCCTTGTTTTACAGATTATTACATTGATCACTACTTTTATATTGTTAATGGTAGCTATCAGAATTTCAATCTGAAATGGAAAGGCAAGATACAAGGAGGCTTGAGGAATTTTAAGTAATTTAGTTTGTGTTAACTGAATTAACTTCCACAAGTTGTAGAAGACTTCTGAATTCCTGAAACTTGGAGGCAATGAATGAATTATAGCTTTGCTCAGTGTGTGCCCTGAACCTGAATTATAGGTAGGATTGTGCTAAAATCATCACTAGACTGAGGGAAATGTTGCAAAGTAGCCATAAAATGAAGGTGTGCCTGCAGCAGGATTTCTACCACTTCTGCTTTGTTTTCACAGAGAGGGAGAAAGAGAGAGATTCTCTTTATCTCAGCACTGTTTATGGTGCTTCCCACTCT